AATTCATCTGCAGTTAGAGCTGGACATGGATTAGATAAAGAGGTTGAGGAACTTTGATGAGAACTCTGAGAGGAAGCGGAAGTTTTGTATTCTGTTGCAAACATCTTTTGAGAAAAGTTAAATGAATTGTGTAGATCAAAAAAGGGGTATATATCTAATATATATACAAGATTGTGACACATGATGTTCCTTCCTATTTAGGAAAAGATATCTGAAACACGTAACTATAGAACAAAAACAAAATATTTGAACTTTTAAGTTCTTTAGTCATTATGCATTTAGTATTGGGTGGAGGAAGAATTGTGCATTTATAATTAGTTTTTTATTTTCCTATGTAACTTTCTTTTTGTTAATTCGTATATTCGTATGTAAAATAAAATGTCACTGTCATTAAAACTAAATAATAATAATAATAATATGATTGGCTAATTTTGATGCTCCAAACAAATATCATAGTTTCGTTTTATTCGAATTTTTCATATCATTCGTATCATTCATTTATTCGTCTATTCTAATTCGAATTACTCGTTTCATTCGTTTTTATTTGTTTATTTGTTTATTCGAATCAACTTTAAATGTAATTCAAAAACTCCAATTTATAACGAACAAAACAAATTATTCGAATAAATTTATATCTTAATATTAATACTAATACTAATATTAATATTAATACCTAGAGGTAAGTAAATATATGGGGGGACAACTCAATGTTACACATATAGATATTTGCAGATCTTCCAATTCCAAAACTGTCTCCACTCCTAAATTAAAAAATGTCATACGTTTCATAGTAAAAAAGAGAGAAAACTTTACACACAAGAGTTTTTGAACAGCCGATGCAAAAAAATTAAGTTATTATTGTTGAAAGCTTTATACTTCTCAAATTTTCTCTTGATCGGGCTCGAAATGACATTGTTAATTGTTAATTACCAAGAAACATATATTATATATATTAATGACAATTATATTCATTTTACTTCTGTTTGCATTTGTGTCGTAATTTAGGGTACGACAAGTTTACATTTGCGTTGTACTTTTTATATACACCCGGATTTTTTAAATGTATCTACATAAGCTTAATTTAATTCTAGGACCATAATTTGCAATACAATAAAATCATACTTGCTTCGTACTTTTTTTATATATTTACAAGCTTAATTCTATATATAAAAACCAAAAACGATAATACTGCGAGCGTGCAATGTCAAATACAGCTCGTGACGCGTCCAATAAGTATATAAGATAAATACGAAAGTCCAATAATATATATATTTCCCAATTTCCGCTCACCCTAGGAGCTATTCCAAAATTGTCTGTAAAAGATTTCAAACTTGTTTCTCAACAACTTCTGTAGGAAAAAATTCCAATATTACTGTTGTTCCTTTTTGATATTATAATTAAAATTGAGTTACTGGAGAAATAGTTTAGCTCAAAAAACCATTTATATTTACAATATTATTGTTTCCAAGGATAAACTATTTACACCAGATGAACTTGACAACTCAAGAAACTATTAATATTAAGTCCTTCTAGGCATTCCTATTTCCAAAAAACTTTTTTATTATTGAAGATCATTTATTTGGACGATCAAATTTTTATCATTCATCACAAAAAAAAATTTTTCTGTAAGTAAATAATTAAGTTGTTGAAAAACATATATTATATAGTGATGATATCTTTGGTAACCAGAATATATATATTCAGGGCACTAAATTAGAATACTCATGGTTGATGCAACCAAAGTGTTGTTGATTTTTAGAAAAACAAATTTTTTCTTTTAAATATTTAGTTGTCCATGATGAGACATAGGCGAATCTGAATTAAAATTTTTTTTAAAATAAAAAACATCAACCAAAGAATATTAATTATTTAATCTAAGTTTTATAAATATTTAGACTGATTGGTTAAATGGCAAAATCAAGATATGAATATGTAAAAAGTTTTGAAAAAGATGATTCATTATTGCCTAACACTTGGATGGTTTTACGTATAGATGGAAGAGGTTTTCACAAGTAAATTACAAAACAAAAAGAAAATTTAACAGTTATAGAAATTATACACTTGTTACGCAAGTAACCAACTGATCTATTGATATAGGTTTTCGGATAAGCATAAATTTGAAAAACCAAATGATAAAGCAGCTTTAGATCTTATGAACAAATGTGCACAATCAATTATGAATGAATTTCATGATATAATATTAGCATATGGACAAAGTGATGAATATAGGTAATAATAACAGAATCATAAAATAATAGTAAATGATATATTAATATGTTATTAACAAATATTTATAAATAGTTTTGTGTTCAAAAAAAATTGCAACCTTTATGGAAGACGTGAATCGTAAGTAATCTTATGTGCATATATTTATAACTTTTTTCTCTTTCTCACTTTCATTCTCCTTTCTCTTTTCTAGTAAAATATTATCAGTAATTGTTAGTCAATTTTCTTCTAATTATGTATATTATTGGAAAGATTATCTTCCATCAAAAGAATTATTATATCCACCCTCATTTGATGGTAGAATTGTAATTTATCCTAGTGATAATAATTTACGAGATTATTTATCTTGGAGACAGGTTGATTGTAAATATTCTTTAATGAATTATTATTATACTAATAATATTTACAATGTAGTAATAATAATAATTTATAATAAGGCCATATAAATAATCTATATAATACATGCTTTTGGGCCTTGGTAAATTCTGGTAAATCTGAATCTGAAGCAGAAGAATTTTTAAAAGTGAGCATTTATCTTTAATTTCTCAGAAAAATTTTTTTTTTTCAATTAGCAACTAACTAGCTTTTATTTATTACTTTTTAATGAATGTTAGGGAACAGTTTCATCAGATAAAAACGAACTATTATTTTCTAAATTTAATATAAATTATAGTAAATTACCAGAAATGTTTCGTAAAGGTTCTTTATTAATTCATCAAAAGGTATTTTATATAAATATGCATGTGTTATTTTACAATCTTATATTATTACAATGTTTAATATCTCTATTTCTATCACTTATAAATAGATTGAAGAAAAAACCATAAATCAAAAAGGTTTAGAAGTTACAAGGGGAAAAAATGTTGTTCCAATATTACATGTTGATATTATTAAAGATGAGTTTTGGGAAATTCATTTAGAACTTGGAATTAAAATATAATCAATTGCTCATTTATTTTTTTACTTTGTATTAACATGTTTCTTTAAGATCATGTTTCATCCTCTATAGTAAGTTTGGTGTGACTTTATTAATCAGATGAATTATCAATCTGTCCGATCCTTTTCCCTGTCAAGAAACACCCATTGTTTTGATTTTATTTTTATTTTTACAATCTTGAAAGATTATGTTGAAAATAATGATGAAAATGCATTGTTATTTTGAAAGTTATGAAGCTAGCGAGCAAATAAGGGTGCAAAACTCAAGAGTTAAGGCATTAATATGTAAGATCACTGAATGGTTTACCAAATGATAATTACAGTATATGTCATATGCAGAAATAGTCAACCTTTACATGTTATAACTCAGCAATATTTTTGCACTCTTACTGGTGAATTTGATGAAGATCTTGTTTTCCAAAAGCTTTAATGATATATTACTGGTTGAGCAATATTGTTTGTTGTTATGTCCATATTTTGCATTAACCATGTTTACAAAGAATTAAAAATCAAGGAGTTAGAAATATATCAAATGATAACAAATATAAAATATATTTTATTGCCTTATTATAATGTAATATTATACAAGTATTGAAGAGTATAATGCTTGACATGCAAGGCAATTTTCAAAACAACTACATTTTGGATTATCTGCTTCTTTCAATAATTCATTTGATTCATTAATTGTTCCTTGAACTCATCTAACAAATTAGAAGATAAATATTAAAACATCTCATCATATATTCAATGGGTAAATATTGGTTTCCTATAAAGATGTTCCAAATAATGTTAAACCATTATTTTCTAAGAAGGGTAAAATTAACATTATTATTAAGGATCTATTTTAAAAAAATTAAGCAACAAAAATGAATAAATGAAAGGTTTTGGACAGAAAAAAAAGGATGGATTTCTTTCATGAGCTGTTTTTGATGTAGGTCTGCCTCCTCTAAAATAGATGATCCATTTATTAAATTTTGTCAGAACTTATGTCCTGCATATGTTATCATCTAGGAAAAGTTTGTTAAGTGACAAAATTGCTTATATCATATAATGGTAAGTATTTGGTAATTAATACAATTTGTATGTAATCTCAAAATAATTGATCATCAATAAATTGTGTTATGTTCGCTTTGTGTAATAATAACTTTTTCTCTAAAGATCTTTTTGACTAAAAAAAAAAAAGTTACGCGTTTTTCTACCTTCCAATAAAAAATAAAAAATAAAGTCAACGATAAGCGTTGACAATATTTCAATTATAGTTAATACTGTAAAGCTATATTACGATTCTGAGCAAACTTGTCAAGCTACTACAACTGCTACTACATTAGGAATTTTGGCTAAATGGTTAGAAACAACAAGAAACATTTCTGTTACCACTGATAATCTATATAATATTCTGCAAGTTCATTCGGAGGAATTCATGTTGGGTCAAAAATGGTTAAAAACAATAAAATAATTCATTTATAGATATTATATTTTTAATAAATCACAAGACAAAATCATATATGTATTATCAATTAATTAATATTAAAAACAAATTATTAAATTACATTGATGATGACAAATTTTATACCTGAAATTTGGTAATACAAATATTCACTTTGTCTGGTTTTGTTGCTCAACTGAGATTTTTATATAAGGTAAAAATGCCTATTTTGAACTCTGATCCTCATATAAGACAGAGTTGTCAGAAACTCTGATTTTAATTTATAAGGTAAAAAGTGATCCCGATTTTTAAAGAAGGTAATATATGGGCAAAGGAAGAAAAATCAGTGCTCTATTTTATGACATGCTAAACATTGGTAATAAAAAAATATGTTATGAACTTTTATATTTGCTAAAAACTCATTATGACAATGTCAAGAATTCATAAACCAAGAAAAGTCAGCATTACGATCAAAATCACTAAAATGTAAGTGTGACAAAGATATAAAAATTTGGACCAGATATTCTTGAAATGCATCTTAATGGAAAAGGCTATGTATACAAATCTGAAGGCAATCAACCTATACTCAAGGATTAGATTACCAAATAGGTTACAAGAAAATTAGTCAATTAGTTGGAGAAACAACAAATAATAATATTGTAAATGAATGAGGCAACAAAGATATTTATTATTGTCAATTTAATTCACTTGTAAAAATAATTTGATTGGAGTCAAAACTTGTTTTGGACAAAATAAAATTCAAATCATCATCATGGAAATTGGTTAGCAGTATTCCTTATTTATTATTATAAACAAAAAAGTATGGTGGACAAAGTCCTATAATCAATTTGCCTGTAATAGAGCCATTTAGTTAAAAATATAATGAATATTAATATTAATATAATGTACAGAATCTTTTTTTTAGAATTACACAACGTCGATCATTACAGTATTTAGTAATTTAAAATAACACCAAAAATTAAAACGCATCATAAAAAAATAATGTCTTGGAGAAATCAATTATCAAAAAGTTTAAAAGAACTTCGTATACATTTTTGTCAAACTTCTCCTTCTAGTAAAGGAGTTCGGTAAATATTCTTTTCAATTTCTTTATTTATTTTTCTCTTCAATAACAAACCACATCTTTCTATTGCTCTCCTTTCAATAACTAATGAAAACAAAGCAATTATCTAGAGAATTTATCACAAATAACTATTTATCATTAAAAGAGGCTAATCCAAAATTTCCGATTCTAATTCGTGAAGCAAGTGGAATAGAAGCTCGTTTTTTTGCTAGATATGGTACTTATGCACTTTACATATTACATACATAAAAAAGTGTCAATATTATCTAATTCTAAATCATTAATATTTATTTTATTAGATTTTGGAGAAGAGAAAAAAATTGCTTTAAATAATCTCTCAGCTAGAGATGTTGAATCTAAATTAGAAGAATTGGTTTTAAATAAAGATTCTTTAAAATCATCATGATAAACAAATAACTGACAATAATAACAATCAATAATAATAAATTTTCTTATCAATCTCTTATCTATCAATCAATATTTAATATTTTTGGCACAGTATCATATAATAGTAATTAAAATAAATAAATGATGTATATTTATAGGTTAGGAACAAACATTACTTCCTACTTTGGTATTTAAAATTAAACCAACAATTAAACCATAAAGACCCAATTACTTCAACAAAAATCGATATTAAAATCATTCCTACAAATAATCTTTGTTGTTGTGCATGCCCTCTTACACACTTTTGAAATAAGAATATAAATATATAAATGAGTTATATAACACTTACAGCATCTCCAGCATCACCTATTGAATAGCTTGCTGCTAATCAGTAAGTCCTACTGCCAATCCAGATCCTAATTGAATGAATCTGCTAAAATTATTTAAGATTAAGATTGGAGTTACTCTTATTATTATTAATATTACTATTTTTTTTAATATAGGCTTTATAATTGTAATGCTTATTCTATATACAATAAGAATTATCATTAATAGTATGCGCAACAACATTCGTTTAACCATAGATCTCACAATGTTATTATTATATACAATAAGAATTATCATTAATAGTACGTGCAACAACAATTCGTTTAACCATAGATCTCTCAATATTATTACATACAATAAGGATATCATTCATAGCAGTAGTTACCATCAGTTGATTTTTTTTGATGGTCGCATAGCAATGATTCTAAATCTATTTTTTGAAACAGACAAATAAATATTGAGACAATGTTATTATTATATACAATAAAAATTATTAATATACAATAAGAGTATAATAATAATACCTCGCATAACAATAATTTAACCATAGATTCATTTTAAATACAATGTTAGAAATCTGTATTATGAATTATTTGAAGTGAATGTATAAAATGTAATAAACTAACAATTCTAATTATATTACTCAAAGATCTTTATTTCTGCTCATTTAACCCTTCCTTCTATTTTAAATATAATGTAGATCAGTAAAACAAATCTCTCATCAAAACCTAACTAACTCTTGTGCGAGCCCAACACATCATTTAAAGAGGTATTAGCAAAAAAAACTTAATGTATAATTAAAATGAAACTTAATAGAAAAGCACTTTTTTGAAAAAGATCAATGAAATAAAGCTTTAGACGTAAAAAATCTTCACCGCTACTTTTCTTTCATCTTGGGAACCAAAATTTTTTGTCAAAAAAATGTATTTATTTTATTTGAAAAGTTTACAAAACATTATTTTGTTATATAAAAACGTTGAATTTATGAATTTCAAGGGGGACAGTTTGGATTTGTGAAATCTTAGTAATAGTAACATTCGTGCCCTATACAACCACGTGATATTTGTAACATGTGAGCAATCAGAATTATTGAATGGTTTTTAATTGGTCGAAATTTTAAAGGTAGTAAAGGTTCCTTTGATTATCGTGTAAACTAATTGGGACATTCAAATTTTATACGACGTCCATGCTATATTAATTGATTAGTTGATAAATTGTAAATGAATGCAAATGCGAATTGGAGAATGAAGCAGGAAAATTATTCTCTTTACCTTGTATCTAAACACCTAAATACCTTTAATATTTTTATGACATACGTTATCACAAATTCTATATCTAATAATATAAATATAAATATAAATATACATAAACTTGGACATTAATTAATTATATTACTGTATTGTTATTATCTTCATCCTCTGTTTTTTTAAAAATGTCTTCAGCTATAATAAGAACAAAAGATCGAAGACAAGAAGGTTATCAATCTTTTACAAATCCAAATCAAAGGTAAAATTTTCATTAATTGATCACATTATAGTATTTGATTCATTTTATTTAATTCAATATATATATATATATCTAATGTTGAAGTTATTGATTGTAGTCATAATAATAGAAGTAACAAGAATAAATGGAATAAGAATAAGAATAATAATAATAATAATAACAACAACAACAATAACGATTTTAATATTAATAATACTAATAATTCTCAACACTCAATTAATCTAACATCAATAACTCAACAACATCCAAATCCTAGCCCATCATTCACAAATCATTATCACAATAACAGTTATATTAATAACATTAACCATAATACCAACAATCATGCTACTAATGTTGCTAATAATCATTTTTCAATATCTCCAGGTCCAAATTCATTCAAACAAATTGAACAAATAGTTTATGATGAAAGTTCTAGCAGACATATGCATGATCGAATGTTATTTCTACTTTTTAATTTAGTTGTATGTATCATCAAATATTTAGCATATTATTATTATTATTATTTTTTCAAAAAAAAAAAAATAATATCTTTAATTTTTTCTAGGGTAGGAATGTTATTGTCACTTTAAAAAGTGGTGTAAAATATCAAGGTTTTTTCATGGCAGCATGTACAGATGGTGGAATTGGCGTGGTGTTAAGATTAGCCAAAAGAGTTTTATCCAAAAGTGAAGAAAAAACCACATCAAATCCTGCAAAAGAATCTTTTATCATATTAGAAAAGGATCTTATGGATATATGTGCTACTAATGTTGACTTTTCTGCATCAGAAAAATCAAATTTAGAACGTGATAGTATGTTATATGTTAATATAATCAAGATATTTAATATTATATTATATTATGTAACTTACTTACTTAATAATTAATAAACTAGGCTTTAAAACAGATTCTAATATCTCTGATCGCACAGGAATAAAAGAAAGGGAACTTCATAAATGGACTTCTGGCGAATCAGAAGAGCTTTTTGAAGGCTTAGAATATCCTTCCATAAATTTTTTATGAAAAAATCATATACGATTATTTTATTTATTTTAATCCTTAACTTCTTTCCACAGATAATTTAGGCCAAGAAAATGGTGATACTTGGGATCAATTTGCTGCAAATGAACAATTGTTTGGAATTGCCACTGATTTCAATGAAGAAATTTATACCACAAAATTGGATCGCTCAAAAGCTGATTTTAAAGAACGAGAAAAGGCTGCTATCGCTCTTGCAAATGAAATTAACAGAGTAAGATGTTTTAATAAAAAATAAACCATAAATATATTTATATTTTATTTTAGAATATTCAAAGATTAATATTATATTTGTATGATTATTATAGACTGCTACTACAAATACTCATATGCTAGAAGAACGTGGTTGTATCATTGATGAAAATCAAATGGACGAAGAAGAACGGTAAGCGATCAATTGATTTCTTATTCAAAAATTACCTTAATTCGATTATTTAATTAAATAGATATCATTCATACATAATAATAATAATAATAATAATAATAATAATAAATTTATTAGTTACGGCGCTGTTATTCGAAATCGTGATCCAAGTAAATACATGCCACTCACGCTTTGTAAAATACAAAAACAACAGCCACTGCCACAACCATCATCAATTAAATCAAATCAACAATCACAATCACGGCCAAAATCAAATACTACTACGCAAACAATTAAAAAATTAGATACTATTAAAGAATCTTCCAAAGACATTGCTACTACTACTACTATTACTACTACTACTACTACTACTACTAATATTATTACTACTACTAAATCAAAATATTTAGAAGAAACAAAATCATTTTCATCCATTAATAACAACAACAATAATAATGGTGGGGATGGTGATAATATTTTAAAGGCAATACCTTTAACTAATGGAGCTGCTGCAACTACTAATGAAACAGCTACACCTGTACAAAAGATGTCTAATTTGGCTCAATTCCGAATAACAGAACCCATTGATGTATTAATTCAAAAGGTTCTTAGAATATTATTTAATATGTTTATTATTTGTTTATGTTAAATAAATTAATAATTAATAAATATATATACTTTATTTTTAAGAGAAATAATAATAAAGATTCTGAGGGGAAAAAAATCGAAACGCAGATTATTAATAGATTTCGACAATTTGCAACCAACGAAAAAGAAAGACTACAACACAAAAAACAAGCTATATTTAGAAAAGAAATGGATAAAAAAGCCGCTGAATTACTTGAATGGGGCCAAGGCTTTAAGGTGTTTATTTTTTTTATGTTTTTATATATTTTTATATTTTATATTTAAGAATAAAAACTCATTATTAATAAATATATAGTTAGATTTGCCATTACCAAAAGATCTTATTCCAATTTTGACAAAAGATGAATCTAAACGTCAACAGCTTGAAGCTAAATCTGTGGCAGCAGCACACAATTTAGATAATGAAAAAATAAAAGATAAATCACAAGATAAATACAACAATGACATCAATAACAATAACAATAGCAATAAACAAATAGATAAATTATTCGAAGATAAAACAATCATATCCAAAAATTCGGATATCAAAACAGATCTTAAAAAACCCGAAGGTGAAAAAACTCAAAAAGCTCAACCTGAATCAAAAACATTAATAACTGATAACAAAACAACATCATCAGAATTTGATAAGTTAACTTCTGCTGCTCCTCTACCTTCAATGAATGATAACAATAACGATTCAACATCAACATCAACATCAAATTCTCAATTCAAATTTAATGTTAAAGCATCAGAATGGAAACCAAATCCTAATGCGGCAAGTTTCACTCCGGTATGGGTTGATTGATGTAACAATCTTCATAAACAACCCTTTTATATATATATGTATCTATTATATTTTTATAAAGAATTAATTTAAATTAAAGTTATATATATATATTTTAATGTAATAGGTTGTCACTAATACCAATATTGATAGAAAATCACCTGATTCAGTATGTATTAAATTAATCATTAATCTATTATTAAAAAAAAGTACAAAATGGAAATAATAAAACCAATTTTTTAGTCACCTTTCTTTGGAAATCAACAATTAAAGAAAAATTCTGCAACAATTAAAGATGGTTTTCATAAAGGAAAACCATTAATAAATCCAAATACAATTCGTAAGTATTTAAAAATTTTAATGTTACATAATCAATTATTCAGACATTGTTTTGCTGTCAAAGCTGATATGATGATGAATTATAGTTGTCAATCCAAGTTATGGATTTATGCCTTACCCTGTTGCACCTTTTCGATATCCAAATTCAACTCAATATGGTGTAGTCCCTTTACAACAACCTACACAAATGTCATATATGCAACCAAGGGTATGCTGCTTCTTTCATTTTTTAGGAGTATGGAGTGAAAAAGAATATTAACAAATATTTTAAATATGTTTGTAGTTTGTGCCTAGTATGCCATTCACTACACCTTCAGTTCCATCAACTGGTGCACCTCGTATGTATATGTTGTTTTAACTAAAGAAACTTGTATTTAATTTAACAAAATCTTATATATTTTTTTGACAGAAATATACAATCCACAAATCCAACCAATGGTTCCACGTATGTTTTATTTGTCTCATATACATGGTTTAGTAATATAATATATAATGATTAAACACTTAATAATCTAATTTGTATGATTTGTTTTTAAACATATAGAACATTTTGGCACGCAGGGATTTCCATCTCCAATGATTCCAAATGGAATGCGTCCACATATGTATCAACAATATCAAAATCCACATGGTACATATAAAGATTTTCTAATTTAATGAGTTCAATTCAATAAAGTTTGTTTAATTTAAACATTAACCAAAGCAAGAATACCAATATGCCATTTTTTTATATAGTAATACCACCAGTTATGAGATATTCAGTACCTCAAGCACTGCCAAATTTGGGACAAAGACCTATGATGATGATGGAACCTCATTATGTAAAACAATCTGAAACTAACCCAATAAGTAAATTAAAAAAGTAAAATTTTATTTATTACTATTTAAAAAAAATTCACTACTCATTTATCATTTAATACATTTATATGTACTATGTGAGTGTGTGCATATATACACACAAAAATATTTTAATCTATTATTTAATAAATCATAATAATGATAACACTGACACCAATTTTTGAGCTTTTTCTATATAGAAAACCTAGTATTTTCCCCAAGTATTTTCTTAATTGATAATTCCATAACTGCCATGATTTAGTTTTAACAAGACCCCAAAAATCATATAAGTAGATCAGCAGCAAAAAACCACAGTTTGATATGGTACATATTGTCATTGTTTGATTCTACTTAGAAGATGCATTTGCATAATTGCTACACAAGATGTTGATCATCTAATAGTAAAACAGCTATGATCAACAAGTCAAATTTATCATTAATAAGTTTTTACCTTTTGCATTGGACACTAATATGTTGTGGAACTTTACACAACATCTAACACGTATTCATGCCAATGTTTCTTTAATATTAACCAAAATATTATCTCTTAAACAGTCGGAGTATTCTTTAATGGTAACACAAATTAAAGGTTTGATCATTCTTATTGGTCAATTTAACAATCAGCAAAGTAAAAACAGTCAATCGACCAACTTTTAAAGAAGATTTTACAAAAACCACAAGGACAACAACTGGATTTTTATTTATAGATTAATCAGCTGAATCTCAAAGATCATTTTTGTATTAGAAAGTGATGCCCTCAGAAAAAAATTTTTATATCAGAAAAATTTTATCAGCTATCAATATCCAATTAACCATTTAGGGGATAAATATATACATAATAATAGAAATACAAAAATATCAAGGATCTAAATACATAATAATAATAAAACATTAAGGAGTCTACTTTACTCTGTATCAACAGTTGGACTGTCTTGTAATAAATAGGGTATTGTGGCATAAGGTAGTAACAATCAAAATACTTCATAAAATTAGCAAATGTCTCAATGAATTTTATCACATCTGATGAAGGTGATGGTTGTACAGGGAATTTTGGACTAATGTTCCATGTTGCAATCCAAAAAATGGTTGTAAAAGCAGTTGCAACCAGTGATTGCAATCATTTTTATATGACGCAAAGGTGGCAGCAACCATCATCAAAAGTTGCAGCCAGTATCCTTATTTTGGACTCATGTAGATGATAATATCAGCCATGTACATAATAAGGATAGTTATATGAATCTTGGAACCCACAACCTGCAAGCCAATAACTCCAATTTTTTCATTTTCTGGTCTGCACCCCTTGTGGTCCCAGTACATGCTGTCATTTGTTTCATGCCATAATTTTACTGTATCATTTTTCTCTTTCTGATTTGTACAGATCAAACATGAACACTTGGTACACATAATTTCATACTTTTTACTCCCATCATTCATCAAAAACATAATGTCTGGCTGTTTCTCCAATCACCCTTTACTTTTTTTATCCAAACTTGCAATGCTCTGTCATTCAGCACTAAAAAATTCAAGTATATTATGATATATTTATTCCAAGTTATTATTAATGTACATTGTAATAAACATGGGCCTTCTATAAGGAAGGCTGTTTGAATTACCAGCACTATCATACTAGTTACATATGTGCTTTCATTTAACAATTCCCTTTCTTCACATGCTGCTAACACTGGATTGTTCCAGGGATTGTTCCTAATAGTGAGACATTCCATTGTCAATGCAAACATTTCTGATATGATGATTAGATTACAAAATACACTTACAAGTTCCTTCCACTTCTCATCATGCAAAAATTCTTCAGATGGAACATCAACATCACATCCAACAAAGTTTCCTCACATTTATCCCATACAATTGGAGGAATACTATCAGTGAGCATGAGTTGCATTGGTTTCTGACAATAAATTAGAATTCAAGTTAATATAAAATCTCCTAATGAAGCCTTGCTTTTCATACATAAATCCAATTCAAAGACCACATAACTCTGGTGAATTTAGAATTCAGGTGCATTAGACATTCTCAAAATTACTTACCATAAAAGCTTTTTGTAATGCTATTCATCAAAAAATTTTTTCCTAAAATGATCATGTTCTTTTATTTTTAATTGCTCAAGTTCTAGGAAATTTAGCAACATATATATATACATGATTTTCAGAACCTGAGCTATAAGCTGATATAAATTTCTTGTATACTTATTACCTTACTCAAATTAAATGTCTGCTTTTTTAATTTTCTTTATGTTTCAAATAGGGTTTTATTCTCCATCTTGAATTAGGATGAGATTTTATGCAATACTTAAATAATCCCACTAATTGAGGTCAGTAAGGATACTTACTATCAACTTTGATTGTGGCTAGTTTATTTTATTTTATTTTTTTGTGTTTATTTTTGAATGCAGACAAGGAAGTTGAAAAAATTGACTAAAAATAACTAATAAAAGTGACATTCATTTTGAGTAGGGTAATATTATGTGTGTTTTTGTGTAATCAATACATTTAGGTTCTTCAGTTCAAGCACTGTATAAATTAAAATAAATAGAATACAAATAAAACATCCAATTTTCTTTAACAGACAATACATTAATATTAATATAATTTTTTTATAGAATTGTGTCTGTAATATACATGAAGTCGAAACTATTTCAACCATTTGCAGATCTGGTCGAAATAGTAATAGGGTTGAAATAAGATCGAAACCGATTTTTTACTATGACAATAATAATAATAATGGTAATTATTCACCCTTATGATGATATTTTTTTAGATTCACAACATATTGGAGAATATAAAATCTTGTAATCGTTTGTTCATTTTCAAACTTATATCTTTTACAGACTATACATGAAGTCAAAATTAAAACCCCAAAGTTGAAATGTTTTGACTCGATAAAACTTGGCGGAAAAGTGAATGATCACCCAAAGATTATTGTACACTTGTTAGACCATATATGGTGCTATTTTGTCGATTACTATAATTATGAAAAAAACGGATCAAACAAAATTCTTTTTTTTATTTTATTTAGAAATGTTTTCACCGACCTTCACCACAGATTCTCGTTCAAAACATGCTCGTTTACAATCAATTGATTATCATATAAGACCACATTCAAAACGAAAGGTTGCTTACTTTCATCATAAAGAAGTTGGAAATTTTCATTTTGGTGTATGTTCACTTACTACCAACTACTCTTCTTTTTTTCATTAAATGAAATATGGCAAATAACTAAATCTCTTCTATAAAGACATATCCTTATTAGAAAACTAATACCTTGTATTATCAATTATTATATTTTATTTCATATATAGATGCAACATCCAATGAAACCTCATAGGCTAACCTTGACTAATGACTTGGTTCTCAATTATCGAATGCATGAAAAAATGAGTATTTTTTGTCCAGAAAAAGCTACTGATAAGGATCTAGTCGAATTTCATGAAGCTGATTATATAAATTTTTTAAAAAAGTAAGTTATATATTTGTGTTAATGTTTTGATAATTTTCAAATTCCAAAATCTTTTTTTTAAAAAAAATATTATTATTTTATCCATACATAATATATAAAGCTATATTATTGGATTTTTTCATTTTTAATCACTTTAATCAAAAAAAAAAAATTACACAGGGTGACTCCTGATAATTCAAATAAATTTATAGATGAGTTTCAAAAATACAATATCAATGAAGATTGCCCAGTATTTGAAGGATTATATGATTTTTGTAAAATTTATGCTGGTGCCTCCATTGCAGCAGCAAATCGATTAGTAGCAGGTGGTGCTGATATATGTGTAAATTGGAGTGGTGGATTGCATCATGCAAAAAGACTTGAAGCTTCAGGATTTTGTTTTGTTAATGATATAGTATTAGCTACACAATATTTGTTAAGGTTAGTAGTGGTATAGTGAATATTTGACAAATTAAATTATTTTTAGTTAGTAAAATAAAATTAATTTTTTTTAAAAAAAAACCCCCCTCCCTAATTTTATTAAGGTACTATCCTCGTATTTTGTATATTGATATTGATGTTCATCATGGTGATGGTGTACAAGAAGCATTTTATAATACTGATCGAGTGATGACTGTATCATTTCATAAATATGATAAAGACAATTTTTTTCCTGGGACTGGTAATTTGAATGAGATTGGGCAAGGTCCAGGAAAATTTTTCTGTTTAAATGTTCCATTGAAAGATGGAATTGATGATGATAGTTATGTTTCACTTTTTAAGGAAGTTATACAGGATGTAAATGATCGTTATCATCCAAGTGTAGTGGTTTTTCAATCTGGTGCTGATTCATTGGGAAAAGATAGACTTGGTGGATTCAATTTGAGTATAAAAGCACATGGAGAATGTCTTCGATTTATAAAAGAATGGAATCTTCCATTACTAGTGCTTGGTGGCGGTGGATATAAAATACATAATGTTGCACGTTGTTGGACTTATGAAACTAGCATTTTGTTAGAAACAGAACTACCAACAGAATTACCAAAGAATTCAAAATATTTTCATTTTTTTGCTCCAGACTATTCATTACATCCAAATCTAATCAGAAGAGTAGATAATTTCAACACAAAATCTGAATTATCAAAATTAACTCAACTAGTTCATGAGCAATTAAGATTCTTAGATGGTGCTCCCAGTGTACAGATGCAAGAGATTCCTGGTGATTCACATGAATATTTGGAGGAATCTGAAGATGAAATAAGAGATGCCAGAGAAGAACATAATACTGATGAAAGTAGAGCTAGTAGACTTATATTACATGATAATGAATATTATGATGGTGATAGTGATCAAGATGAAGATTCTATGGAGATTGGACCATAATGATAATAAAATGGGGCTTTTGGTCCATATTAATCTAGAGAAAGGTTTAAAACATTAAAAACAATTGCATTATAAAAAAACATTTGTAATAATTATATGTATCTTATTAATAGATTATTATTATGTATTAAATATAAATAAATCTATTGAGAGCCAATAAAACACATGTAAAGTATATGTTGTTGTAATTTTTTTGTTAAGGCCCATGTTCCACTTCTTTGTGTCATGAAAGCTTTGGATTCGGCAAAATCTACAACTCATTTCATCATCCCATTACAAGACTTTCTGCCACTATAGTAATAGATAGGATAGGCAAAAGCATGACAGATACAAGTGTTCAGAATAGTATCATTTTCAAGCTTGGCATTTTCATTATTTAAAATTAAAGCAAAGATTCTTGTTCCAAGGACTTCCTAGAAGTTTCAAAAGGCTTGTTATTGCTACTCAGATGCGTTTTACGTGTTTTGGAGAAAAGATATACTTGAAACTACCAAATTTATCTCTGACGTCAATTAGAAGTTTCCAATGTCCCAAGGAGAGTGCATCATTTTGTTCGTTTGTGTAATCTGTCAAAAATCTAATCATTAATTGAATTGTTATCATATCTTCTTTTCATACTTTATCAAAATGGAAGAAAACAATAACTTGTCAAAGTTGTCCTTAGAACCGAGAATTGGAACAGCTCCTATTGATGTTAATGAGCAAGGAATAGAAATCTCTCAACCGTATTTATTGAATTATTAATAAATTAAGAATTTAGATCTGACATTAACGACAACAAAATTATATATATTAACAATTTACTGATCTATAATAATAATCATCATTGTGGTCATAATAACATTATAACAATAACACAGTAATCTAGAATCTACAGAAAAACTTGCTCGTCAAATGCAAAAGGTATGGGGAGAACGTCAATTTCGTAATTTGACAATTGAATCTTTAGAAGCTTCTGAGGAAGACACAAAAAAAACTAAAGTAAAAAAAGAAGAAAAATCCAAAAAAGCTGTATCTGATTTAGAATTAATGAAAGATACTATTAAAACATCTATTGTGTAATTATTTTTTATAAATATATTTATTTATATATACAGCAAGTTTTGTTTTTTATTATAATTAACTTATTAATATGGGTTATACATAGACAATCATACAGTGAAATTAATGTTGGTATTGATGTATTAAATTTAATACTATCAGAAACTCGTCAGAACTTTGTTCCTACAAATCCACTTCCAATCCCAGCTGGTATAATCCAACACAAATATCATAGTTATACTCAACCAAATACAATTTCACAAATTCAGAACACAAAATTGATGTTGGGAATGAAGCGTAAGGTTGGGATTTTAAATATTTTAATGTTTATTCATTCTTTATTTTCAAAATTTTTACTTGAATCAAAAAAAATTATAATTTATATATATATATATATATGTAAATATAGCAACTTAAACATGCAGCAGGTATCTTATCTTCAGCATCAGGAAAATTAAAAGATATAGTAGAGAAAGAGCGTACATTTTGGAATGAAGCTATATCGTTAAGACAACATCATTGGAGTTTGTTACGTACGGAAAATAAACAAATATTTGTTGATTATGGATATTCAGAAGGTTTGTGCAATCATTTTTTTAAAAAATATTAAGATTTCAAAATTTTATAATAATTCCATTATTAAATAATTCTATTATAATTATTTATTTTTCCTTCACTAAAAAAAAGCTGGATCAAAGTATCATGTAAAATCATATCCACAAATATTAAGAACACCTGATGAAAAACAAATAGCAATATCACTACCACAAAAACCAAAGAAAGCGGTGAAATTAATATTACAACAAAAATCAAGTGTTCAAGGTGACTCGATACAAGAGAATTCTTGTAAGTTTTTTTTCAGAAAATGTTGATAAATAAATAAATAAATATTTAATGAATATTGATTTATTCAAGTACCCCGTTCAGAACCGGTTGATCCAACAAATATTCATCAGCAACTTATTGCAGCTCAAAAAGCTATTTTTGAAGGAGAGTTGTTTGAAAAAGTATGTTGCATATTTAAATGTATATTATATATTATATGTCAATCAAATGAATTATTATTTAACTAGGGCATCTCGTGTGTGCATGTGTGTGCGCGTGTGTGTGTGCGTGTAATATATTTATTTATTTTTACTTTATGATTTGCAGCTACTGGAAGAAGCAATCTCAATACCGGGAATAAAAATCATTGAGAATGAAATATTTATTCAGATTTATGAAAATGTAGATTTGACAATTCAATGGGTAGATTTCTTAAATATAATATAATTATTTTGTTAAAGAAATATAACATTTATAATTTTATCATTTATGTGACAAGTAGGCTAATTTGGATACACTTGAAGAATCTCAATCAATGGATGAATATATGTCACCTGGTTTAGAAACAAATAATTTTTTTAATGTAACTATTTCACCAGAATCTTCAACATGTACTGTATTCAAATTAGCCATGGATTTATTGGTGAGAAGATTACATCGCAGAAATTTGCATGGACAACAAGAACGTATATTAAGTCTATTTAATCCTATCCAAAGAGAAGGGTATTATATATATAGATATATATATAATATTTTTCAAATTTATATTTAATTGTGTAATTAAATTTAAAACAATCTTTTATAAAAATAGAAGTTTAATGATGTCAAGTACTCAAATTCTTAAACAACCGCTTCATCTACTTAAATACCATTTCTTTTGTAATCGTGTTCGTGAAATAGTCAATTCGATTACCAGATCATTGAGAAATGGAGGTGTTCCATTACAAGTTCATTTCATATCTAATTTGGGTAGTGGAAAGGATTTAATCAATGAAATATGGAAAAAACTTGGAAATGACAATGTACCATTATTTATTGGAATGATGATTATAACAGTTGATCACAGGTAAAGATATGTCACACACACACATATATATATATTACATGAAATTAATTAGATTCATAATTCTATAAATGCATCTTATAGACATAGTTTACGATTTACTTTGGAATCACCAGAAACTGTGATAATTCATTTACCACAAGTCGACATTAGAACAAGAGATTTAACACAATTCCAAGATATACTTTCCAGGGAACTCACATTATTATTACTGAAAATAATCTATCAGTTATTAAATTATTTAATTGGCTTAAATGATTTGATATCAGATAATAATGATGGAAAATGGATTCTTGATATTGCAACTTTATCAATTTTCAGAGAATTGCCACCAATATTGACAACGAAATTGTCTGCTTCTTCTTCCATGGAAATAACAACACCACCATCAAAAAAGAAAATTGTTAATCAACCTGGTGGTAATATAGATGTTATGGAAGTGGATGATGATAATGATGATGGTGATAACAATAGTAAAAATAATGGCAATGATCAGAATTCAAATGTACCAATAAAGTGGAATCAAACATATTGGAGAAGGCCTGTGTAAGTTTTTATTTTATCAAAGGGATCTTTATTATTATTATTATTATTATTATTATTATTATTATTATTATTATATTTTATTAAATTTTAATTTTCTTTTTTAAAAAAGAAAAATATCAATTCTTAATCAACATCCAACACCTGATAAATTAAGTGTAAAGGTTGAAACAACATGGGATGATGATAATATTCTTGAAGATGTATTAGTGATTGGTAGTAATGATGGCAGTAATGTTGGTGAAGTAGGAAAAAATTTAAGGAAAAAATTTAGTGAATTGATTTATGAGTTTTTAATAAAATTAATGTGATAATAATAGAATTCCTAATGATGATTACTAAACAGTGAATTATTAGGAACGTAAAAAAAGCACAGTACGCATAATAATAAACATGATGATAGTGAACTAAATTTTGCAAAAATAAACCAATTGTACAAAAATATCTAGACAGATTTTTATCACAATTATCACATGATTAGCAGCCACCCCATAATAAAAGCAGTGTGACCGAATAGTGTTATATGGGGCATACTGCAACAAAACCAGACAAAGTGAACATTGGTATTACTATTATTGGATTATCCGTTCAATCCGTGGATAATCCGTAGGATTATACGGATTCTACGGATTATCCGCTCAATCCGACAGATGTATTTTTTGAGAAATTACTGGATGACGGATTAATTTTTAGAGGTAAATGACGGATGGACGGATGACGGATACCCGCGGATCGCATCACTAGTCCTGCACTATATTAGAGACGTATCGGATATGACATAATTATTGATTTGATAGTGTGATGGCTCCCCTCTCCCCACATCAGTCACACAATTTACAAAAAATTTTCTTATAGATTCATTGAAACAAGGTTTGATCACTACTAAAGCTCTAACGGGTCAGATTCGGGTTGATTTCGGGCCAATAAGAAAATTTTGTGATTTACATAATTTAGGTAGGTTTTATTCACCTAAATTTTATTAATTAAATATAAAAGGCGAAATAACTATATTGGTTTTAAAAGGTGATGCAAGGGATGTAAGTGTGAAAGGAAGACGTTCCTACCATCTAATTGCTTAGGAAGTATAAAAATCAAAGTCATGGTATCCATTTGTTCTAAATATAAACATGAAAATTTATGTTGTAAAACTGTTGTTAAATATTGGGGTACCTTCAACAATCCGTAAACTTGATTTCTTAAAAACACCTGAATATCCTTGAGGACTAGAAATTGATATTCCCTATTACCACCATGGTTTCGCAAGGGACCCCAACACAAAAAATATATAGAATTCTTTTATAGTGAAGATTCAATTGATTTCGTCAGATAGCAAACGTGAGATCTACCCAAGAAAGAATTATGCGAAGAGAATTGGATTTCCTAAGGAATGTTTGGTATTATGAGGATTAGTGTTGGTCGCCAAAACTATTTTGAAGAGATGAAAGTCAAAACTAAAATTAAAAGTTATATATCAAAACTAAATCAAAAGTCAATAGTCAAAAATCAAAACTAGTTTCGACTTATGGTGAAACCTTTTAACTTTCGCACGGTTGCGAAACTTTCTAGTTTTGGAAACCAACACTAATGAAGACCCGCATATAATAATTCCAGAGTATCTTCGGGAATTGGGTCTCGTTGAATAAATTAAAACTTTAAATGCTCCATGATCATTATACTCGGATGCATTAATTTTTTGATCCCACACCCACACCACACTGCATATACGCGTACATAGTTAAAAAAGATGCTATACTTTGGCTAGAAGCGTATCAATATTTAATTTAATTTTTTTTTTTACATTTGGAGAAACCTAGTCTTTATGAAGAATTTATGAATTTGGCTGTAAAATAATCCTCATTTCGAAAAAGGCTATCATATAAAAATAAATTCAAACGGAAAATATACTTTTTATTGGTATAAATTAAAGAATAATTTACAAAATGTTGGAAATATATGATTCTCTGTACAAATGGGTGAAGCAAAAATTTAAAAATCATGTGACTGCCGGACATGTTTTACGTAGGATTTTTCTTCTTGAGCAAAAAACTATCCTCTAAAATAAGAACACCATATATATTTTCCACCAGAACCCTCGGATAAATCCTGATTTATTCTTGTCCATGAAACACCTTTCTTTTCATAACTTTCCTTACTTTCACTGACACAAAAATCGATTTCTATGATAGGGTTTAGCTCATTTTCCCCCTTATTCCAAACCATATAAATGAATTTGCCCCCCGCACCTTCGCTCAAGTCATGGTAATTCCAGAATTCCCAACCGACTGGTTTTTCTATTTGTTTATCTGAGAAAGCGAGAAACCGTAAGGAAGTTACCGCGTTTTTATGATTTTCAGAGATGATTCTCTCACGTTTACGTCCGACATATATGAATTTTCCGCCATGACTTTCGTTAAGATCTTGCAGGTGCATTTCATACCCATTGAAGTGATCAGGGCAATCTTTATCATTAGAGGTGTAAACTATGAAATCAGTAATCCATGTTGCCATTTTGTCAACTAGGAAAAAATACCAAGTGCCTGTCTGTATATATGAAAAATTATTTTGTTGCACAGATCTGTTGGGTGATTAGCATTATTGGTCGGACAAATGTATCAACTGACTGATTACGTATGCTAGATAGAATGTTCGATTTTTCACAGTTTTTATGAATTTTTTGATTGAAATAATAATATGAGGAGGGCCCCGAAAACTGAGGTTACTCAAAAATAGGTGCTAAATTTTTTTTTATTTTGAATTTTATAAAATTTATAAATTTTTGCACTATATTAATTAAATTGTTTAAATATTCTCTTCTTTCAAAACATCCAAAGAATTTCCTGACACTAATGGAACCCAAGAAAGTTACAATAATCATACTAGTTAAATTAAATCAATGTCAAAATAATATATTAATTGATTTGATATGTGCATTTTTGTGAAAATAATCTAATAAATGAAATTACAGAAATATAAGATAAAGAGGACCTCGGAAACTTCTAATTGAGGTACCAATCAATGATTTTTATATTAAGTTTATCCAAGGGTTTATATAACAAATTTACCCTGTTAATATTAGTACCATTTTTTTTAACACTACTAAATTTACCCATTTTATATCTTTTTTATTATTTATTACATTTAAAAAAGGGAATTTAGTCTTTGGATATTGTGTGTAACTGTGCACTTTTTTAAAAATTTTACTAATTGATTTACCCAAACATAATAATGACCTCAAAAAAAAAACTTATCAATTTTACTCATTCTTAATTGGACATAAAAAAGTTTTACTCTTGGACCTTTTAATGTATGCACCCTATCAATAACAGTAACATTTTTCACTTTTCTATATTAATATGTTTTTTGCCCTTGGTTTTCTGGGGACCTCGATTGGAGGTTTAGGGTCCTGTTTTGATAATGATATCCTGCAAGTGTAAGTTATTCTGCCTAAGATGACTTTCCAAATCATTTAAGGACTGGTGATATTTCCTCCCATTAATTGACTGATGTAGAATCCCTAATGCTATCACTAACCCCATATAATAGTCATTAATCAACATCCTTTCTGCATGATCTGATGGTGAGTTATAAACATCCCATGCAAAAACCCTTCCACTGAAAATATCTTGTATTCGCATGCTCTGTTTCATTGCTGTCAAAAAACCATGTTGTATTAATGTCATTTCCTATTCTTAGTGCTTCAGACTTTGATATAATTTCCTGGATGATTCAAGAGCATCTTCAGGGCAAGATTAGGAGGAAGATTATGTAATTGGCTCCAAATCTTGATATTTTCAGTAATAAATTTCTCAAATGCCTCCATTTCCATTTCTATACCAACAAAAGGAAAACAGCTGTATAAGGTATGTCATCTGAAAGTTCAAATGGACCAAGTGCAAAGATATATAAATGTTAAATGAATAGCAATGGTCAACCAGCATACCAATGTTCACTCAAATGAGTAGATAAATTAATGAAAATGATTTTTTGTATATTTTTTATGCAATTTGCTCACTGCATTTATCTTCAGATACTAATTCTTTTCCTAGTGTCTTCCCCATTTCAACACTTCATCTACCCACTTATTCTTCTCTTCCTTCTCCAAATGTTATCTTTCACCAATATACTTTTTTACTCTTTCTTCTCAGACCTATTCAATTTCTTCTTCACCTCTTCATATTCCTTCTTCGCATCTTCTAACTCTTTCAATTTTTTCATTAGTTGTCATTTTAAAAAAAAAATTTTTTATTGATTGTTAGTAAAGCTTCAAACCGTTGACCCAAAAATTTCAGGCATTCTAAATTCGTTAACTACACAAAAATATACATAATAACTTCTCAAAAAAAATTATAATAACTTGTAGCTTGGTTTTAGTGAATATGTGTTGCGAAGTAGAGATGCTGGAAGAATCCTGTTTCTAAATACATACATAGTCTATAATACCAAGGTTTAGGATTTTAAAAACTCCCTAAACTAATTTAGGGAGGTTTCGGTTACGGCTTTCCCTAAACTCGGAGTTTAGGGTCACAACTTTATTCATAATACAACTTATTCTAATCTTAATATTAATTCGAATTATTCAAATTATTCGCGTTGTTCATTTTATTTGCTTTATTCGAATTACTTGTTAATGTAGATCACTTTTAATTCGCGATTTGTGATAAATGGAAAGGGTCTACATGCAAGTTAAAACTCCCCTTTAATTGTAAAACTTTATTTCAGTAGGTGAAATGAAGCTACATTCACATTATCGGCTAAATGGAAGAGAATGGTAAATAAAGGTGCGATACAACTAAATTCTATTGACTATTATTATTATATTTTATTGAGATAATATAACAGTTGATTCATAATGAGCAGACATAAGAATTATTCATTAAATCATCAGACAACAACATACTAATATTTTTTGTAATATACATATTTATGAGGCATTATTAAAATCACAAATTACATAGTTTTTCATATATTTAACCGGCTAATTAACCGGTTGGGTTTTTTTTTGACCTTAACCCTAATGATGTTCTATTTTTTCATCATATATAAAATTCATTGTCTTCGCCAACTTTTTAAACACATGCAAACTCTTATTGTTACAGGTTATAAACTACAACGCGCCTTTGAGTAATTAAGTCTGTGCGTCCAGGAAAAACTAGGACACTAGTTTCTATAATAAGTTTATTAGATTAGAAATCAACAAATTTAATTTTAAATAAGCAGAATGCAAAAATTAGAATACCAGGGACTGCCAAGCCTAAAACTCCAAACGGTTCAGTCAACCGAAACTGAACCGTTCGGAACTTTAATCATTGTGTATTAGTTCTGATTCGAAAAACAAATTATTATTAAACAAATCTTTCTTCTTCCCATGGATGATAAAGTGACATTACGAAAATTTAATCTTCAAATCGGTAAATTATTATGAAGCAGTAATCGTTAAATATTGTAATTCAGTCGAAAAAGAATTTTACGAAACCAGTATATCATATCCAGAATTTTCTATATGGATGCCTAAATTTTATGGAAGTTTACATTAATAAATCTAGTTGACAATATTAATGATAATAATAACAATAGTGGCGATGGTATGAAAATAACTGATTCTTCAATAATTAGACAAGAAGTAAAAGAGCAAAATGCATTACAGGAGTTGAAAATATCCTTTGGAATATATATATTAGGAATGTATTAATGCTAATTAACGTTATCTTTAATTATAAATACACGCCATATGTATAGAGTATTTTTATATAGCTTTAAAAAAACCATGTACTCGACTATGGGAGCGAAGCAAAAAAAAAAAAACAAAAAATGATTAAAAGAGCTTTAATGACTACATCAGCTTCATTAGGAGTCAAAATTCTTTTATCTTTAGTCAAAGTAAAAGAGAACACCTTTCGAGATAAATATGAACAAGAGTCGCCCTATTAAAATAAATGGCTTGTTGACAAATTATGTAGTAAACAGACAAATCTATTTTTATTTTGTTGACATTTATCAACTGAAATGTTTTTGTATTGCCAGAAATACTGTTATATAAATATAATATACCATGTTGGATTACTGATTGTATCAGTCAATATGCCCTGGAAATTGATTTAAGCTCTTGGTAAAATCCATTTCTAGTATTAGCAGATTTGATCATAAGGTCCACTAAACATTAAGCTTATGTGGATTTATATTTAATTATATATAACAGGCGATATTTAATAATTAATTATATTAATATGTAATACATTGTATTAAAACCGTTTGTGGGGTTGTTGGTTGTTTTAAATGAGTCCATGATTTAGGCACAATTACCTACAAAGAACACTAACACATTTTATTTTTAGTGCAAGCAACGTTCAGTAACAAGGGTGGTAAATAAATAATCGAATATGGCGATAATGTGTATATAACAAAACCAATGACCTCACTATTCACGCATTATGTTTTTGATTCTGCCAACTAATAAAAATCTCGGCAGAAAAGATGGCATATTTATAGATGGAATTGAGAGATAAATTTAGCAGATAAGAATACCATCTACAGATTTCAAACTCTAATGAAAATCCAAGTTTTTATGTAAGTTGTTATTGTAATTCTATTATTTCTGTGATTCAGTTTACAAACAGGATGGCTTTATACGGACAAAAATACCAAAAAATACATCCACTTTGGTTTTTAAATGCCCATATTTTTTATTAATATGTATGATGTTTGTTCTTTTTAATAACCGAATTTTCAATGATATTTTTTATCTTAGTATAATGATGATAAATGCAATACCGAATATGTCCAATAACATTACACCTCGTGACGAAAATTCTTTTTTGTTCAATTACTCGACAACCTTTTCTATTGATTCTTATTTATTAAATATTTATAAAACTGTTGTTATTTATCAAAAAAATTTAAAATCGACTAGGCCTTCTAAATCCTCCTCCACGACCACCTCCACGACCTCCCCCACGACCACCTCCACGACCACCACGATTATTATTTCCAAAATTGCCACCACCACCACCACCCCATCCTCTACCACCACCACGACCACCTCTTTGCATACCACCACCTCTTCCACGACCTTAAATCAGAAAACAAATCAATAAATGTTTATAATAAATGAATATTAATGTACAAAAGGTTATCATTACCACGATCACCAACTTTCCTCCTTGGCCCTATTTATTGATTGGTTCAAAAAAACAATTGTATTTACTTGTTATAAAGAAATATAAAGAAAAAAAGAGTAAAGGAAAGGATATTATAGTAAACCTGGAGGTTTTGGTGCAGCAGGTTTTGGTAGGAACCTTTCTAATGGAAGTAATTTATCATCGCCAATATAAACTTTATCATTTTCTTTAAATGATGTTGCAATTATACCCTCTTGTAATTTAACCGTGAAATATACATGATTCATAGGCCCCAGTATCTCATCAACTTTACCAATTTGGTTTTTATTTTCTAAATATATTGGTGCATTAAAATAGGGTATTTTCGGATTCACAGATAGACATACCATGTCACCTTCACATGCATGTACAAATGTTCCCATTTCTATTATAAAAAGGATTCATCAATATAAAGAAATCGCAATCAATTTAATAATCCCAATTCAACATATTCATTAGTTTGCTAAATATTATATATAAACGTAATATTACTCACCAACTATAGTATCTGATTGTTGGTTTGAATAGTTGCCATAACCACCACCTCCACCTATAAAATTGATAATAATTAAAGAATTTTTAGAATAAAAAAAAGATTATTTTGTAATAAAACGAATACACATACCTCTTCCTGAACGTGCACCTCCACGTCCACCACTACCAAAATTTCTTGCACCTCGAAATCTACTCATTTTTTTTTTATATATTAAAATATATAGAAAATTTTTTTGATTGATCTACATCACAATTATATTGCGATTAATTATAGTAAAAATAAAATTTAAATTTATTGAATAAAAAAATTGTAATTGATGGACCAAATATTATAAAAAGAATGAAAAGTATGGAAGTAATTGTTAATATATAATCATTATATGAAATTATATAAAATCTATGTAAAGTTGTGTTTTGTAATTCATAAAATTTACATAGTAAATAGATTTTACATAATCCAGAAATTGTAATTCTCGCAATAAATTTTATGTAAATCCTATAATAAAAAAAAACTTCCTGATGTTGGAGAACACTGACTTTAACACAGCTTGCTTTGGAGAATATGTTGATAATATACATGTCCCAAATAAATCAAGAAAATGCCAGTGAGATAGTAAATTGAGGATCCTTATTGTTGTCAAACAATTCATTTTATATCATGACATCATCAACATTAGTAATTACACTCTTAATTATTCTATTTATTGGACAAAAAGTCATATTATTTGCAATACTTCAAAAACACACTTGAAATTTTCTTTAATCTTTAATCTTTTAATGTTACATATTGATAATAAAAACTCTTTGACTGTAATTAATTGATAAAGCTGGCATGATTGATTCATAATCCTTTCTGATGATTAATTAATGGTTTGGCCAACCTTTAACTATTAATTAAGAACCCTTTGAATCATATTATATTGCTTCTAGTGATGCCTCAAGTAGTATATTTCTGTTTTTTTAGAGCATATGAATAGTGATCACAATCACCATATGGTGCGCCGTATCTAAAAACATCAAATGCTGTGCCTCTTGTCCATTTTAATATCGATCTTTCCTGATTAAGAAATAATTCTTTTTTTTTTAATTTCAGTTACAAATTATGGTTTTACCTAATGGACAACCAAAAGGTATGAAAATTGTACTTGAAGTTTCAATTAATAAATTTGGGGTGACTGAAACTTTTGGGGAGGGTAATGTATATTGAAAAGTACACCACTTTGACTTGTTAATGTCATAGACAATGATTTGAAAAGGTAAGAAATAAATAATATCACACATACATGAATATAAGAAATGATTTGAAAAGGCAAGAAAATAAATAATGCTGCAATAGTGTATGTATGTTTATGATTATTAAAAAATTACATTTATTTTTTTTGTCAAAAATCGTTGTCTTAGTGTGTATATTCAACATCCAAATTTCAAATGAAAAAAATGATGATAATTGTGAGAAGTTATTACCTTTATATAGTATCACTATTAAATATAATTTCATTTCTCGAAATATACAACTATAGTAGCCAAAATAAATAATAAATAATTTAATTATGTAATAAAATGACAAGATTTAACTTATTCAAGTAATCCATCTGGTATACTTAATTCAATTTGTTTAGAATCTACAAAATATTTATCACAAGGGTGGATATCAATTAATAAAAATGAAAATAGTCAATGATTGAATATTAATAATTACCATTATTATTACCAATAATTGTTACTTTATTGG